CCTGATTGTACCACGCCACCAGCATTTTGAATCCAGGCTCTGTCATCTCACCAGGCAGGTTTTCTTTAGGCCTTTGCTTATCTGAACGGGTTATAAGTATGTCCTCTACATCCTCAAAATTAAGTCAAATATTGACAGGACAGACCCTGTGGCATCATTATAAACAGCTGTCCATTGACCCAGGGCCTTTACGATGAGGAGGAACAGACAGTTGTAGGAGGCATCAAAAAAGACTTGGACTCAGGCAACAAAATCTGACCACTTCCAACGGCATCATGTCAGTGCTCAGGCCTCGCTGACAGAAGTCTATGACAAGTACCATTACTTGTTCATGTTTTTCCTGGAACGGAAGGAAAGATACGGGGACGGAAGTCCCTGGCCCAGTGTGGTAGAAGCACCACTCACACCTGGAAGTCTACCTTCTCTCAGACCTGAACGGTGTGGACCGCTCACCTGTACGAGCTGCTCAGAGGAATGACTCACCTTCCCAGGCTAAATGTCGTTTTTGGAAAAATCCAACCTACTGAAACCACAGTCCTCAGGGATACTTGGGGAGGGCAGAGTGAACTGTATAATTCTAAACCACTTGCCAAAACCGGTTTGGCTTAGTGGATAGAGCGTCGGCCTGCGGACTGAAAGGTCCCAGGTTCGATTCCGGTCAAGGGCATGTACCTGGGTTGCGGGCACATCCCCAGTGGGAGATGTGCAGAAGGCAGCTGATCGATGTTTCTCTCTCATCGATGTTTCTGACTCTCTATTCCTCTCCCTTTCTCTCTGTAAAAAAATCAATAAAATATATTTTAAAAAAATTCTAAACCACTTAATTATTTTTTAAATGTGGTTGTGCTAGCTTCGGGAATCTGTAGTAAGGCAGGTGACAAAGTATTGACAGTTAGAGGTTCTCCCAGACTTCTATTATAAGGGACAGATAATTATAGGTTGGTTGAGTTTTACTGATTTTGTTAAAAATTATTTACTGATTTTGTTAAAAATTGATTATTAAAAACATTTCTATTAAAGATAAAGCAAGTGCAGCCCAGCCAGTGTGGCTCAGTTGTTGTGTGTCGACCATGAACCAGGAGGTCACGGTTTGATTCCCAGTCAGAGCACATGCCCAGGTTGCAGGCTCGATCCCCGGAGGTGGGGCATACAGGAGGCAGCCGATCAATGATTCCCTCTCATCGTTGATGTTTCTCTCCCTCTCACTCTCTCTGAAATAAATAGAAACATATTTTTTTTAAAAAAAGTAAAGCAAGTGCTACCCGTCTAGCTCATTCTGGAGGAGCATAAATCCCACCTTTGCAGAAATCAGTGCACCAGGTTTTACTGAAATATCTCTACTCACCTTTCCTTGGCATCCAGGAAGGCTTTGGCAAAGGGGTTGTACTTGATTTTGAGAGCCGTTATCTTACGTTCACAAAGATAAGAAGTGTTAGTGAAAGCAGGACAGGCAGGCAGACAGAACCCTCCCTCTTCACCTGGGAATTTCTGTAAAACCAGACCCATCCCCGCCTCTTCCTCTCCCCCCTCCACGTTTCTTTGCTAATGTCTGCACAAAGCCACGATCAACCGCACTGTCTCTAGCCAGAGCGCTTTATCGTGGCCTGTGGTGAACACAGCAGATGCCATGAACGTGAGCAAAGACAGGCCAAAGCCCTGGAAACGAGCAAGCCTCGTGTGCTGAGCCCGCACCTTTCCTGGACTTAGTCATTCATTGTTTTCAACCATTACTGAAAAGCTCCCGCATGCCAGTTAGGAACCAAGTGGAAAGTAAGGCCGTGCGATCCGGCCTCGCCAACAGGAGTCCGGCATCACCTCCCTAATTCTTCAACAGTCGCCCACCCATGGGGCGGGTTAGCACGGGATACAAGCTCTCACTCCTACCCACGGTCATCCGATGCCCCCTGGCCTTAGCCTGCTTCATTTTTCTTCAGGGCCCCCTGACATACTATATATACATCGCGTATCAGACATACGATACACATGTGATATACACTGAGTGGCCACATTATTATGACCACCTGACGTTTGTAGGCAAATTAGCTATAATTTCGCACTGAAGTTGCTAGAGGGCCAGACCATTATAAATAGGGAAGCAGGTTGTTTACCACGACAGTAGAAGTGATTTTTTTCTGAAGATATGGGTAAACAATGCGATTTGACAGCCTTTGAACATGGGATGGATATATATATATATATATATATATATATATATATATATATATAT